TTCGTCCTGCCATCGATATCCGCTGCTCGCATAAGTGTCTGGAAAACAATGACTTAGGGGTTTGGGGTTTCATTTTTTTTTGGGGATGGTTTCTGGGTGATACACCCCGAATTGGCTGACATTGTTGTCGGTTCATCACACGTGACTGGGCTGCCACTCAGTGCGTCATTTGTCATGGCACGCTCCTTTGTATCCTGTCAGCGGTATTTACTGGCAACTGCTCATCCTGCAAACCGGATACTCCTCTGTAGTTATCCCCGTCCACCTGCAAAATGTACTCCATTTCGGCCTAATGACAGGTAACCTTCTTTCTTTGCCTTTCGTGTGAAAACCACATACGGACGCATTTGTCTCTGGCTTTTCATTCTGGGCAGATTTCATTTATGCTCTCTAAAAGCCTGTTTGTTTTGTTGAAACTCAATTAGGGCGCCAAAAGGCATGTGTGTTGTTCCTGTTTAGTAGCTAAAAAAAGAAAAGGGTTTAGCAAGTGCGTATATATTATCCAATTAGGGTAAATAAACTAAATATGCTGGCCAAATGGCATTGCGCTCCATTAAGGAAAGATAAACATTTCTTAGTAAATCCAGACATGCCACTATAGCAGTAGCAACTTGTTAGCACCGCGGAAAAGCGGGAGGAAAATGGAGGAAATGCGAGCTTTATGGTCGTGGAGCCCACGTTGCGTATGAGTTATGTCCGCCGAGCATTGCCCTTGACAAGGCGAAAGGGACGACAACAAGTTGCAAGTCGCACGAGCGAGGGTCGCTTCATCAGGTGCCCCAGGTTGCGAATTAATAATTAAATTATTTAATAAATTAATAAAGCCAACAGGAAGTTGGCGAAAAAAGAGGGACAAAACTATTCGTTTCAGGGGCAAACCATAAAAATAAAATGACAAATATCGCGTATACGACATGTATACGTATCAAATCCATATCCATCAGGTGTCCCCGGGTTTTATGAATGAATTCGCTCGCAACATGTTCGAAGTTGCATCGAACATTTGACTTGGCCTCTTGGGTTCGGTTTTTCAAAATCAGTTGTCAGAACGCGACGAGCCGCAGCGGTTGAAAAGCTCGGAAAATTCAATTTCTAACATTTCCGAAGCAGCTTAGCTGGATATTTGAAGTGAAAACCAGGGATTGAGGTTGCCAGATTTCCTGGTCCAAAAGGCGGCAACCTAGTGATAACAAACGAAAAGCCATCGAAAAGGGCAAATAGAGGCCAAAGTGTACTAAGTGAATTCTTGTGCTTCGAAATAAAATCCAAATAAATCTAAAATCTAAATCTAAATCTAAAATTTTATTCAACAATCTAAGTGTGCATTTATGTGGTGAAATATTTTAAATCTTTACACTCGTCTTTAATAAGCAACAAAAACGTCTATTAACTGATCAAATAATTAAAGGCAAGTTTTTTGGTTTATTTTGAAATACAAGTTAACTGAATAAATAAATTGGTTGGAATATTTGAAATTCATTTTTATTGAATTATTGTTTTTATTGGTAATCATTTTAAGTGAGATAAAATGGAAATAAATTGGATAACGCTGATTAATTAAATAACTAATTTTATTGATGAAACCATAAGGCAGAATTTTTTTGTGAAATCTACTCCAGCCATTATCAACACATAAATTATGGTTGAAGCATTTTTTAATCAGCTGAAATACTCTCAAAAAATCCAAATAAATTTCATTTAAATTTTGCATCTGATCAAACGCCGAAATTACTTTTTTTTATGCCTGTGTGTTTGCAGGCTTATCTATGTATGTGGTTAACCCAGGGCAATAATCAAAATGACATCAAGTGCTCAAGAGCTCATGAAAGCTATGTGATGTGGAGCAAACAGTGAACTGTGCACACATCGCAGATACGGATACAAGATACAGATACTCCGTGGTACTTGCAGAGTTCTGACAGGGCTGCCAAAAAATTAATGACATGTTAATATTTAAGCTCCCAAGACAAGTAGCCCCCGGAGTTCATATATTTCAGTGTTCAGTTTTCAGCACTCAGTGCTCAGTGCTCAGTGTACTTCCCGCGTATTTAAAGAAGCAGCCCAACTGTGCAAATACCGCAGATACAGCTTCGGCTTAGACAAAGCCCAGAGTGTCCAAATAAATGTGAAATGTGAATACAAACAAGAACGGCAACTTGAATTCGAGTGTTAGCCAAGTTGAATGCAAATAACCAGCCACAAATAATAGTGTTTTTTCTGTGCCTTCCTATCGTGAAAACTTTCGGGACACTGTGCCCTTAATAAAAACCACCCTCGCAATTTTCCGATCGGGAGTGAGGAATTGTCTGCCTTCAGTCCGGTCGGCATTTTATGAACTGGCCAAGTAATTACAAAGTAGCGCCGTAAGAATAACAGAAAACTGCTTCAGGAATTAGTCCAATCTAGCTCAATGGACAAAGTTTTCCAAAAAAGAAGCTCGAAAAAAATGAACTGTATTGCGACTCAACTAAGAGGGCTTTTTATTCGCTACAACTTCTGAACTGAAGTCAAACTTTGGACAATTAATCGAATAATTTTAAGTGATATTAAAGTACATCTGTTTTTCTCAGAATCAACATTTAATACCAGCAGAATGGAAGTGCAAATAATTTAATTGATTTACTTTAGCACATCGGACTGTAGTTTTAACACAATTGCCACGCAAAGGAAAAATTAAAAATTGAAATTGCCCACCCATTTTAATTGGTCACTTTTATTCGTTTGCATTGATCAATTCAAGGTTTATTTTTACGGCTTCTGCGTAAGTAATGGAAATCCTTTCCAAACAAATATCGGCTTTTTAAGTATTTGCAAACACGTTTCAGTGCAGTGACATGTGGAGCACTTAAAAAAAGAAAGGTTAAAAAATATATGATATTTAACATCAATTTGAAAAATAAAATTTCAAAAAGGATCCGCCTTCAATCGTGTAAATTACAAATGTTATCTACTCCTTAAAAACATCTTTTGAAATAAAACGTATTTACTTTTGTCCATTGAATAATTTTAAATTTATAGCGAACATAAAGTAACGCACATTAAGTATATATTTTTAACATTAGTGAAAATTATTTTTTAGAAATACGATACATACACTTTTGCGTTATAACAAAAATATATTTAAAATTGTATTTTTTTTAAATTATTAAACTTAAAAAGTTAAAAAAAAAGTTGACGAATTATACTTCTATGAGTTATAGTGAGAAGAAAATCTACTTTAAACATAATACTCTTAAAAAATATCAAAAAACGTGCAATAATTTTTTAATCGGTAAAGTTCATTTTAAGTCATTGTAATATGTGATTCTTAGAAGAATCAATTAAACCGATTCCATACCATAAAAGCTAACGTCTAGACTCTTTGGGCGGGGAATACTTTTTCTGCGGGTCTGCAAATCAATCAAAAGCGGTGTAAACAATTGGCTAAAAAGTTTTCGCCCAAGTTTCCGACTCTTCTCCTTCCATCTGTCGTCGCCAAGGGGACTGTAATCCAGAGCCCAAAAAACATGGCACAGATGTGCTTTTCGCTACTTTTTTTGCCGACCTCGGCTGCTGATCAATCAAAAGCGCATTTGTGTATTAATCGCGTTGATTAAACGGCCTGCGAGGGTGGCGAGTGAGATGGGGAAATTCAATTTAAGATGCTGGCAGGCCCAATCAAATACAAATTGCTTTAGTGTCACCGAGCAGCGCAGGTCATGAGCTATTAATCCGGTTTAATCGAGTGCCCAGATTGCACACGTGTAATTAGTTGTTCAGCACACACTACACTAACCACTTACAATGCATATCGTTCATATTGCCATATTCATTTCAATTGATTTTTGTTTTCAAAGTATTTATTTTGGACACGTGTTCCGCTAAATTGGTTTTATTGTTTTCCCATTTGGCGAGGGAACCACAACGCCATAGCGAAAGCCAAACCAAGCGTCCAATTTAATTTATGAACATAAATTAATTAGGAAAATGAAATTTTATGGAATTTTACTTTGAACCTACACTGCAGAACGAGGCAGCATGGTCAAAGTCGAGTTTTAAAGTGAAGGCGACACTGTAAAACATCGTTGTATCTATTAAACTTGAATAGCACTGGCTGCAACTTAATCGCAAGTACTCAAGGCGAGTAATTGCTGCCAGGTAATTGCAATTGCCACTGCTCAGGTCACCGATTGGAATTATTACCGCACTGGGTGGCGTCATTATAGTGCAGCAATATAAAGTCAACCGACTGCAATTGCCTCCCGAGCCATCGAATTATTTAAAGTGTGTCTCCACCGAGAGGCAAGTTGCAAGGAATTTAATTCTCTCTATAAAAAAGTATTTCCTTCAAGGGCAATCAAGTAATCACGAGATGTAAACAACTTGAAAAAAGAGAGTTAAGCCTTTGAAAGCATGCTTTGCAAGCATTTGAATTCTTACCAATGTCCGAAGCTGGGTAAAATCATTTAAATGTTTATGAGAAGGATTTATTAAAGTGTTAAATTGGTACAGCTAATGCATTTCAAAGAGGATTTTAAATGACAGCATCCGCTTTGGCATCATTCCGACTTGCTAAATTGTTCACTGAATTGCACCTAGTCAATCAATATATTCATTGAAAACAATTAAATAATCAAGCCAGCTGAGTGAAAGACTTTGACATCATGTGGTAAACAAATGTTTTCCCTGAAAAAATGGGGCTGTGTTGAGAGCTAACTTTTATGTAAGTGATTTCCGGACATAAGTAGATTGTAATCTAATTTTAATTAGCAATTACGCACGTATTTTCCTGTTTATACATGAAAACATTACCCTAAATGGAAAACGAGTGCTTAAAAAAATGGCGAGTAATGCATTTTTAATTTTATAATAGGTCCTTTTGTTTGAGCAGAAATATATTGGGTGTCTATGGAAACCAGAAGCTTTAAATATTTAATACATTTTCCCGTTATACTAAACTTTTTATAACATTTTACAATCTCCCTAAAATATCTTTGTTTTTGCTTTACTTGCAGTTTGAACAATCTTATGCTCTCTAAATGTTGTAATTTTGGTGATAAATGAAGGAAAAAAGTGTTTGCGACCATTCCTTGGTTAACAAAATCAATATGTATATTTATGAATAACTATATGGAATCATTTATATCTGAACCACCATCCAGAGTCAGAAAATCAAACGATTAAGGAGACCTACTTAAAGATGCAGGCCGAATGGGGCTTGGATAACCAGTCCGCCTCCTTTGCTCGCCTGCCCACTGTTCCCAGTTCTGCAATGGACTTGGAGGCGGATAACGAGGTGGCCAGCAATTGGTCCACCTTGGCCAACATAACCCGCCTCGTGACCGGCGTAGCTCCGGAAATCATCAACTACACGCTCAATATGATGGATCTGAGTGTGGGCGTGGCCACGGATATGTCCAATCTGAGTGTGGGCACCACGCCCCTTCCCGCCTTTGCGATCTCCAATAGCTCCTCCCTGGCGCACACGAATACCCGCCATGAATCTCCACCGATTGCGGAACAGGTGCCCGAGCACGTGATGGACCATGCCCCCCAGCTTTCCCGATCCGGGCTGCTCAAGGTGTACGTCCTGGCGGTGATGGCCCTGTTCTCCCTGCTCGGCAACCTGCTGACCATCTGGAATATCTACAAGACCCGCATTTCGAGAAGGAACTCCAGGCACACGTGGAGCGCCATCTATTCGCTGATGTTCCACCTGTCTATTGCCGATGTCCTGGTCACCTGGTTCTGCATCATTGGGGAGGCGGCCTGGTGCTACACCGTCCAGTGGCTGGCCAATGAGCTCACCTGCAAGCTGGTGAAGCTCTTCCAGATGTTCAGCCTCTACTTGAGCACCTATGTCCTGGTGCTGATCGGAGTGGACCGGTGGATAGCGGTCAAGTACCCCATGAAGTCGCTCAACATGGCCAAAAGGTGCCATCGCCTGCTCGGGGGAACTTACATCCTGTCGCTGGTGCTCAGTTTGCCACAGGTAAGTGGAGGATACTAAAATCATATGTATTAAAACTCTTTAAGTTGTTAGAAATATTTAATCTTGAATCAAAGCATTTAAATATATAACTATAATAATAATCTGATTCAATTCTATACTCCAAAATTAAACTTTAACGCTTAACTTTCTTATTCAATTTGTTTATGGTTTACATTTCTTGGCTTTAAAATTTCCAACCTTAAGGCTTTAAGTTTCTTATCGCAATGAATAAATTTTGAAATAGAAATGGGAACGTGGAAAAAATAGATTTAAATACAAATTAATTACAAAATGTATATACACAATTTACAAAATTGATTTTCCCCGAAATGAATATAGTCTGAAATAAAACTTGTAAAGCACATTTCTCCTTTTAATTCAATTTAACTCAATATCAACTCAAAAATTCAGACCCTAAGCTTTAACTTTTTTATCGCAATGCTTTAATGTATGTAAAAATTAAATTGTAATATCAGATATCTTCACAATTTATGCAGATTCTATAATAACAGACGCCTTAGCCAAAAAAAAAGGGTTGCTACATTTTGAAACATTTCAAAAGAAAAATGTTAATGCAAAAGCATAATTTAAAAATATTGTTTTCTTTAAAAAAAAAGTACCTAGACCCCTGAAACAAAGCGTCTGCAGCTGATCTCTTTCCGAGAAAAGGCACTGCCAAGAAGGAATTTCGCGACGAGGACTTTTCGAGTTGAGTGGGTAGATGGCACGCTTATGAAAATAATCTGGCAGGCGCTCCATTACGATAAGTTAAAGCTGGTACTCAGCAGCTTCTCCCCGCCAGCCACTCCACGTAACATATCTCACTTTTTCTCACACTCCGATGAAGTTGAAGTAATATGTTTACTTTATAACACGCATACGCCCCGTGGCAGGGCGCAAATAGTCTTGAGTAGGCACCAGAATGTGTGCAAACATTAAAAATGATTGCCTTTTGCGCAATAAGTGTGCACTAAATGTGGCTTTAGGCCGCTGCCACGCCCACTCATACGTGGCTGGGCGGAGGTAAGGAAATGGATCCCATACCATAGGGATGCCCAATCGAATTCCGGCCAAACAAAGGGTTTTTCCTGCTGGTAAGCGACAAAAAAATGAAAAAGGTCCCCAAGTGTCTGCCTGACGACAGACATTATTCATATACCCGATTCATTGTGTGCAGATAGGCTGGCTGATATATTCCTTTTCCTTTTCCCTGCCAGCCGGCGGATAAGCTCGAATGGGACTGCATTAATGGGAATCCCTTGCTTTGTTCCTGGATATTTGGCTCCAGATTTCCGGCACATTGATTGCATAATATACAATCCCGATTTCGCTGGTCTGTGCCTGATTTATGGCCTCGTGTGACGTTTCTTGGCAGCCCGTTCATTTATCTAATATCTAATTCAGTTAATATAACCCGGTTCTTGCTCCTTGAGAAGGTGCTCCACTTGAGCTTATGCCCTTACTAAGGTAGTTAATTAGTCCTTAAGGGCACTTCAAAGTTGCCAAGGGGCAGGAACTAATTTAGTTTGATTGAAAAGTGGCTGAAAACTTTCTTCTCCTTTGTGACCCTACTCATGAATACCATCTTAAGCGTTGGCCGGCCATCAAATCAAGTGGGCACAAAGGTTTGCCCTTTGGGCTACCTATTTTCTCAGCTTAGCGATCCAAAAATAGATGATAAAACCGAAAAGCCATGGAAAGTTTACGAGTAGCTGGAGGAGGTGTACCCTACGCACGTTATGTACCTCTAACATTTGCTTTCTCCCACCACCGCGACGCTCAAATGTATGCTATAATTTAACACATTTAATTAGGAGAGCTAACCAGTGAGGTTTTATTTTATCTGAATAATATATTGCGTGGAACAATAATTACCGAGGTACTGCCGAAATTGAGGCGAGATTGTGTTTGTTCACTTCAGACCGAAATGTGTGTGGGTTTCTGGGTGTGAATGCCTGTGCGTGTCTGCCTGTCAAAATGCCTGACTTGTTTAAATGCCCCAAAAAATGTTGAAGTCTAATTACATTTTGATGTATTTTTTCCACTCAGAAAACAGAATGTTTTGCGGATTTTCAAGCGGGTTTGGGATACCTGACGTTGACTTTTAGCCGAGACAAACCATAATAAAAAGCACATCATGTATTGTCTTGAATTTTAAAACAGTGACAGACTTTGTTAAACTGTCGAGATTAGTGGCCCCCTGAAAAGTTAAGAATCCACTTTTAAAAGACCGCCAATATTGTTACATAATTAAAGAGCCACTGTCACCCAATTAAAAAAGAAACTTTGCAATCATTATGCCAACTTTTATGGTCCACTTTTCGCCCCCGAGATGGCCGCCCAGGGAAACTTTCTTCATTTCCGTTTTATTGAACATGCGACATAAAATTTATGCGGCTTTCAGACGTGACGTCCAAGTGGGTAGGACTGAAACGTCACAGTCGGAAATAAGGGAATCATCTCAAACAATTTTCCGGACAACTTTTCCGATGTCACACGTTCATGCAACAACCCACACATGCTGGCGGGGGCAGCCACATCGAATCCAATATGAGACGCACCGATGAGCTCGTCGGTGTCAAATAAAGAAGCAAAATGAAAATTCACTTCGACTGCCAATAAACAACAAATGTTTTCAACAGCTCCAGGAAAATAAGGGACTTCCCCAAAAACTCAATAATACCCAAATGTGAGCCGAAGTCGGCACCATGAAAACACAATAAAGTCAGTCACAAGGTTATACACAGGCCTCATAGAGTGTGTTATTCTGAATTTAATTGTAGCCAAACAACACATGCGAAATTTGCAGCTCTCTGTTGAAGGTAATTCCAATTTTCCATGGAATAAATTTCTGTTCAACAGGGACACATCCCATGGGTTCAATCGCCTTTGGTAAATTAATATTCAACTTGACGATTTCAAAAGCCTTAAGATAATCAATTTGGGTTTAACAAACCACGCATTTACCTTTAAATTGATTTATTTAAATATTTGTCCTTTACAAACGTAGAGAGAGTTATATAAATAACCTTAAAATAAAGCATAGGAGTTCCGAACACCGAATTCCACTTATCAAAAATCAATTAGTAAACAAAAAACTAAGTCTGTCGCAATGAACATTCAAAAACTTTGTTGTAGTAACACTATTAAGGCTGCAACGTGGTTTTTCAAGTGTTTACCTCCAATTTTCTACTAATGCATTATTCAATCCCATTTTATTCGAAAACCCCCAAGGCTTTTGTGTAAACTTTTTCGGTGCAACTTGCAAATGTTGGGCAAATAGTGCTTAGGGCTTCTGTGGAATTGTTCTACTCTCTAGAACTTTTTAATGAAAACCAAACATGGAAACACTTGGAAAAGTTTATTTAATAAATAGATTCATTCATTCAATTGAGAAGCCACAATTATCGTTCATTGCATGCACTTCCTTTTCCGTGGCCCTGACCCATATCCTTTTATAGTCTATATCTATATCCCCCGGGCTATATATTCCTTCGTCAAGGGCAATGGCTTGGAAGTTATAAATGTGTGAAATTAATAAAAATCAACCATTAAACGATTATACGATTCGCGTTAGTCCCCGGGGTTTTTCGTAGTTTTACTATGCCGCTCAGTTGTGCGTGGCGATGGCCAGTTCCTCCATTTGGGTCAGCTGTTGACATAGCGGCCGACAAGAAACCCATAAAAAGTGCAAATAAAAAGACTTTCAGCGTATTACTTATGCGCCGACACATCCGTCCTTAGCGAATATATATATATATATATATTTGCTTTATCAGCTCTGGCCAGACATTTTACAAGGGGATTTTCCTGGACGACTTTCTGGTGAATTGAGTCCAGGAATAGGAAAACCTTGGACAATGGAATACGCTTTAGTCGAACTGAATACAGTTCCCGAAAATGTTCCCTCAATTACCGATGTATTTAGAACGATTCACGGAAGGCAGCCAAAAAGGCTTTCACTCGGAATCGGGGTTTTTTAACCAGATCAAAGGGTCGTTTTGCGTCAGCAATTTGCTACCATGGGGCGCATGTGGATTTCCTTGTAAAACAGGGTCAATCTACTGCAACCAGAAGTGTGATTATCATTTACCAGGAAAATCAGTTGGAAACAGTTTACATTAGTAAATGAGGTCTGTTCAAGTTCAATTAAATTGACTTTATGTTTTAAAATGACATGAACGGGATTAGCTATACAATTGGATTCTGTTTCATTTTACCTATTTTATTTGGTATATCACTTTATGAAATATATTATTTGATTTAATTTATTTAAAGCCAGTAATATCATGTCAGTTATAAACTGACTTGACAGCTTATTTAATTACAGTTGAAACGCTTTATATTATTGGATAAGGTCATTTATGGAAACATTAATTACAAAATGAGAAACGATTTGTTGTACATTTTGCTAAGTTGTTGACATAAAATCATTAATATAAATGGACAAAGAGATTTGGCCAGCTTAAATGATAATATTTTACAAAATTGATTAAATTGTAATGAATGAATAATTTGATTTCATGCATTTAAAGTCTGTACTATCTTTGGCGATAATCAAGGAACCTTTTACTTATCTTTCTCTGCCCCCGCCCGCTTTTGTTTTGATGGATTATGGTAAAGTTCTTCATATTCCACGTGGCTCGAGGACCTTTTGTGGAGGAGTTCTACCAGTGTGTAACCCACGGATTCTACACGGCGGACTGGCAGGAGCAGATGTACGCCACCTTCACGCTGGTTTTCACCTTCCTGCTGCCTTTGTGCATCCTGTTCGGCACCTACATGTCCACCTTCCGGACCATTTCAAGTGAGTATCTTTTGCAATATCTGTCTATCTATCTATCTATTTATCTATCTATCTATCTGCCCTCCCAACAGGCAGCGAAAAGATGTTCCAGGGATCGAAGATGGCCAACTATACCACGGCCAAGCTGCCAACGCAGACGAATCGCCAGAGGCTGATACACAAGGCCAAAATGAAGTCTCTTCGCATTTCGGTGGTGATCATCATAGCCTTCCTCATCTGCTGGACTCCCTACTATGTCATGATGATTATGTTCATGTTCCTCAATCCCGACAAAAGGGTGAGTCTCCCGGGTTTCTTAGTATCGATGGCTCGGAATTTCCGGCGAACTGAATGACGGGCAGATAGCGCAGGCACATCAATCAGCAGTCGATTTGTCAGTTTATTTTGGAGACTGAGTGGGTGTGTCGATTCCTTTGTTGTTTCGTCCAATATTCACGGCTCCGCGGTGCCTTAAAGAACAGGAACTTAAACTCGATACGGCTTAGTCGCAGCTGGTAAATCCGTTTAGGGCCGCAATCTTTTCCACGCTTTTCCACGGCCTGCAAGGCACATAAAAATGATTTCTTATGCTCAATTTTTAATTAATCGTTACGGCCGGTCGGTATTTTTCCTTAACGGCGTCCCAACTTTGATGGCTTGCCAGAGATTGCCCGTAAAAACTGGCCGAGGTGGAGGATTACGTTCTCCGGGATTGCAAAAAAAACATAAGGTCGGTTTGCCGCAGCCTGAGTATCCTGTAAAGTTTAGGGAAATGATTTACCAGGAAATCTGCTTTTAAGGAAAACGTGTAGAAGTTGGCAATATAAATGTTAGCAAAGTGTTTTCTTTTTTCTAATATACTTAAGCTAATTAGTTATTTCTGCTACATTTTAATAAAGGTAATCCAAATGAAAATATTTTTGTGCTTACCGACAAAAAGATAATATATATATTAACATTTTTAAATAAAATACATGTTTTATTATTTTTAAAAAATCAAAATGAAATTGACATTTTAAGCAAGTATACACATTTTTTAGAATCAGAATTTTAGCTTAACTAATTTTTAAAAATATCATTTGTACCGCAAAACTCTAACAAAGCATTCTATTTGAAGGACTGACATTTCTAGGAATGCACTCCAAGCAATTAGCTACATTTTTATGAACCACACTTTTTTGGCAGCTTATAGTACTATTTCAAAATATATTACTTTAACAAAATTTGCTTTGCATACCGCATGGTTGTCAGAAGATGAAATTACCTTGCATGCAAATAGCGCAGTTGTTGCAAGTCACTCATCAGGAACGTCTGACTTCTAAATGTGAGTGTGAGCCATAGAATAACTCTTCGTTTTCCGAGAAATTTCCTTTCACACATTTAAGCTTGCATGCTGCATGTGCAAAAACGTTGCCTTATTTTATGAAAGCCATAGTGCAGGGATGATGATTTATTCAAGCTGCTCCAGGAAAGGCACCTTTGACCGCAGGGTATCCTGGCAACAGGCAACTGGCAAACTAGGACTCAATCCAACCGCAAAACGCCCACAATAGCACCACTCAAACATAAAAGGAGCCTCACAAAAAAGGGTCTGAATGGGGAAATTAATTTGAATTTTACGCATTGCTTGCAGCTGGGCGACGATCTGCAGGACGCCATCTTCTTCTTTGGAATGTCCAACAGCCTGGTCAACCCGCTCATCTACGGAGCCTTCCACCTGTGTCCTGGCAAAGGAGGCAAATCGAGTGGCGGTGGCGGCAACAACAATGCCTACAGCCTCAACAGGTGAGTGGACAAGCCTGAGATAAACTAAATAATATTAACAACAAATTCATATACTTCACTTTGAACTTTTTTTCGTATCAAAATAGTCAGTTCTCACATAGGCATTATACTTATAAGTCTTTTAAAGTTTTTGATTTTTAAATCACTTGTTTGGAATTTTGAAATTAATAAAAAATGTTTTATAACAAATTTGAACAAAATAATAGTTTCTCCTATTATGTATGATTGTTTTTGCTCTTTACTTCTATAACCACTTTATAAAAAATTCCTTATTCTTTTTTTATTAGTATGTGATTATGTGTTAATGGCCTCATCTTTGCTTTACATGATCCATTATAGTTATAGTCTGGCATGTGATTTTTCCACACCACTTTGATTGTTTTGATACCGCAAAAAGTACATCAACCAATATTGGCAATAAACTGATAAATTTTTTCCGTCTGGTTTTTATCACCTTACCTCATCGTCCATTCCCCCACCCCGCCTCCCATCCCTAGGGGCGACTCGCAGCGCACTCCATCCATGTTGACGGCGGTGACGCAGGTGGACGGCACAGGTGGCAGTTCCCGCCAGATGCGGGCCTTCCGCCAGCAGAGCTACTACCGCAGCTCCAGCAATGGGACAGGTGGATCCGCTGGTGGTGCCGGTGGTGCTCCATTCAAGGAGCAGGTCTCTCTGCTGCATGTGGGTCCTGGGACGGGTCCACCGGGTGCCTCCGTATCCAGCAATGCCACCCCACAGCTACTGAGGAAGGGATCCGCTCTCCTGGCCCGTCATCCCAGCTGCCTGCGGGAACAGGAGCACCAGCAGCGACTCCTGCTGCAGGAGAAGCCCTCCACCCTGATCCTCAGCTACGATAGCCAGCGGGGCGGCGTGGGTGTGGGCGTGGCCAGCGGTCTGATGGACAACAACGAGCGGGTTTCCAGTGTTTGAGAGCAGCTGGCGATGGCGGCGGCGGCGTTGGCTACGACAGCTGCACCGGATACAACAGCGGATGCGGATGCGGACGCGGACGCCGATGTGGCGACGGAGGACGCCTGCTCCTGCTGCCATTGCCTGAGCAGGGAGCTGGTGCGACGGCAGCTAGAACTCCAAGAGCTTCCAGTGCAGTGAGGATTTGAGCCCAGGGGTCAGGGAAATGGATTCCCCCCAGGGCCAATGGGTTAGATAGGGAGGCGTCGATGATCAGATCACCGGGGCGTGCAACTTGTGCTTAGATAATGCTAATCGAGAGTTAAGTCTTTAAACACAATGGGTGTGCTTAGGAGTAGCATAGTAATAGAGGTAGTCTTAGAGAACGGTTGCCCGGCACTGGGAGAAACTCAAATTAAGGCTACATATATACCCTTCTTGAAACTTTATATTTCAGATACATTTTTTATATAATTTAAAGATAAGTAACTCCCAAAACCCATTTTTTTATTTCACTTAACTATTATATAATCTATTCAAAATAAATCCTATATTAAACTGTAAGTGTCATTATAATTTAGCGATCCTGAAGTAATGTATTTAATGAAAATCAGGTTGTGAAAATAGTTAAAGTATTTTAAATAGTTGTGACGTTGCAAATTGGTTTCCATTTAAGTGAATAATCAATAATTTTTACAACTGTAATCAAATTGCAATCAGAGTCAGTTCAAATTCAAGTTCAGTTAAAATCTTGTTAATTGGGTAATGAATATACATGACTTCAAATGAGTTTCTCTGAATAGCAGGGCAACATTGTAAAGTTAATTAAAAAAATGTAAGTTTTTTATTTGGTTTTCCTTGCTAAGTTCATCGAAATATCAATTTTATAATTGAGTGAAAACTAAACAGCCAAACACAGGGTAAAAATAACAATTGTAAATAATTAAGCGCTATATTTTTGGAAGAAGTTACCACATCTTCAAGCATAATACCTTAAATAATGTTAAAAAAAATTGTAAAAAAAATAATTACAATAAAAATGAGTTCATGTTAAAAAACGTAATCGTAAGGCCTAAAAATTTAAGATTGCCTGTTCTTTTACCAACTGTACCCAAAGTCATGATCATAATTTATGATTTCCTATGTTACAATTAGTTTCTGTTCATTTTCGTTTTAAAGCCTTCAGAATCGTATTTTTCACTTGTAAATGGCATTCTCCCAAAGGAAACCTTAATTTACGAACAACTGGAAATATCAATGTGAAACTGAAACATGGAGATACTTTAAAAGAATCACACTGAACAACACAATTCAATTTGGCCGAATGTCCCCAGAGGCAAACGGATGCTTTTGGCGATTCCGAAGAATGGGAGGACAACACACATATGTCATTAAAAGGAAGCCACTGCATTATGCGAATCCACCGACGCGATGGTTATATTTCCACAATTCACATCTATCCCACATCCCGTTTGCATATTCATGTGCTCTCCGCACTTCGGTGCGTACTTATGTATAAATAATCTGTGTCAAATTTGTATAGTTTATTTTTTAATAAAACCCGAATGATCCATGCGAAACTTTACGAGCCAACTTTTACGCGCCAAGCCACGCACAGCTCAACACGTTGATGAACTAGCTGGATCTGGATGGATGTTCTTCTTTTGCAAGCGTGTGCGCCATAAATCCAGCGGGGCTCACGTCCACCCCGAGCACGGGTATATTACAAAATTTTATGGGCGGCACAGGCGGAGGTCGCCCATCGCGATAGGCCATAACCGGGGACCCTTGCCAAAGACAGTTTTCCACAAAAAAATACAAAACTCACTCTCCTAGAAAAGTTTCTGGCTCAAATGCAAAACAATTTTTTGCTAGCCTGCAAACAATGCGCCCAAAAATGCGACTCGCAGTCTGAATTTAGAATCTGCGCCGGAAACGGAACCCAATTACCACAAATAATGAAAGATGGACTCCGTTGAGGGTGGCTATTGAACCTCTCCACCGCCATAAACTCCCCCTCAATTATGCGCAGGCAGACGACCTCAGAGTTTTAAGCACTGACCAAATAATCATTAAGGTCCTGCAAAGTCTGGGGGAATTTACAATTTTCTTAGGCTTATCAAAATTTAAATTGGAATTTGTTATAAGATATCAGAGAAATTTGTTTTTTTTTTAAATTGGAAAATTCTAAAACATTTTGTTTATCGCTTGATACTGACAAGGGTTCGAAAAGTTTGGACATTTAATCCGTAAGTAATGGAAAATAGTTATTTGCTTTAGGTTTTGAGAAGTACAGATTGTTTTTTGGGCAGTAATATTATCAAAAAAATCGTAAAGAACAATGTTTTTCAAAACATAAAAATCTTTAGAAAACATTTTTATGATATGATGATGATATTTTCATTTGTGATAATTTTTTCTGTCTGTACCTCTTCAATTTTTGATTGCTGATTTTCCGTAAGGCTCCGCTGACCAGCTGCCAAAGTTTAGAGCTCGAATCCGGGCAGTTCTCGAATTTAAATGCGTGCCAAAAGTGTTCAACGAGTGCGTATTTCATTTTAAGTACGCATTCCTGCCAACAAAGCGATTCAATGGCGGACGAGGAGGCACTTAACGAGCGGGTCGAGGTCCAGAAATTAAAAGCATTCCGACAGGATCCGCCGTTTTATTGAGGATAAAAGGTTGAATTCGAGGGCCGGGCAATAATAGCAATCGTAAAACGGACAGCAAGTACACATCCTCATATAAGACATCCAATTTTGGAACCCGTGTAAGCATCTAACTGGTGATGTGTAGACAAGACACAAGACATCGGAACATCGTTAAAGCAATTATACAAATTTATGGACCATAGTCAACATGACGCAAACTTGGCCTACATCTACACGCTCCATTCAGGCGTGGAGCGATAAAAACAAAGGCGTACAGAGAATAAGGAGGAGCAGCCTCGAAAACCTCAAGACTGACTCATCAAAAACTGATGGACCGTAAACAACGCAGCAACTTCATTCATGGGATTCCTCTTATTGGTTTTTTACTTCAACATAATTTCACTTAGTTTTTAGAGCAGATTACGGGAACTATGGGTTGATCCTGGTGTAATATGGGTACTATGGGTTCTGGCATCCTTATCTCGTGCTCACAACAGCCTCTTTCCGCGCCGCATCCTGAAGCAACTGGGTGTCCACCTCGTCGCCCGGAAGTTGCACGTAGCGCACCACGGAGCCCCGGATGAAGCAGTTCTTGACGCTCAACATGTGGGGGTACTTGTCGGGATCCGTGACACTGATGTCCGTCAGCTTAATGTTCAGATACTGGTCCACCGAATGCAGCGTGCCACATATGCTGCATAAGTATAATATGGAATTTATTAAATCGGAGGTTTACCGGCAACGAGGTTCCAAAACGATGCTCACCTGAGGTCGTTTTTCAGTTCCACCACAACTTCTTTGCCCACCAGAGACTTAAAGAATGAGTAGAAGAGCTGCGGAGTATACAAATTATTTAAGTTTATTGTTAAATCCTTTAAAATTGGCAGTATCTAACCATTGTTATTGTTTATTGCAGTTTTTGCGGAACGCGTTGCTAATTAGGGATGGGAAACATTAAAATACCAAGATATCGATATATACCAAATTTGCCGAAATCGATATTTTTATTAAAAACATTTAGATATTTCTTCTGCAGAATTAATCGTATACATTTTTCAGGATTCATTTTGATATTCTGTTACAAAATTTAAAGTATTTTAAAACAAAAAGTTTTCCGTGAGCGGAAATATAAATATCGATAGCTTACAAAGAAATTTTGTGCTTAAAAGCGTTGTCATTCTTATTATATTTCAACTCGTATGGCAACGCTGGAGAGCTGACATTTGTGGAGTTTCATAGCAGCAAGCCTTACACAGACGCACATAGGCGGTTAAAGAATTGGTTTTTGAATTTGTAATTATGTATTTTAGTAACGGTGATATTTAAGCTTATACGCTAGTTTCTAGACTACATAACTTAAGTTATTGGATCCCGATTTTGACGAGGGATACCACTATGAATTTGTGGTTGAATTCTCTAATATTCTACATTAAAATCCTGCTAATTTTTGTGGGTCCAAATTTCAACCCATTTTCATGTCAGATTTTTCCGTATTTCCAATGGGTTTCAGAATGGGTGCCCAAAACTGCACTTCTAGATTCCATAACTTGAGTAATTGGATCCTGATCTTGACGTGGGATACCTTTATGAATTTGTGGTTGAATTCTCTAATAATGTACATTTAAATCCTTCTTTTTAACGATGGTTCAAATTTTAACCCATTTTCATGTTCGATTTTTCCGTATTTCCAATGGGTTTCAGAATGGGTGCCCAAAACTGCACTTCTAGATTCCATAACTTCAGTAATTGGATCCCGATCTTGACGTGGGATACCTCTATGAATTTGTGGTTGAGTTCTCTAATAATCTGCATTTAAATTATTCTTTTTAACGAGGGTCCAAATTTTAAGCCATTTTCATGTCAGATTTTTCCGTATTTCCAAAGGGTTTCAGAATGGGTGCCCAGAACTGCACTTCTAGATTCCATAACTTGAGTAATTGGATCCTGATCTTGACGTGGGATACCTTTATGAATTTGTGGTTGAATTCTCTAATAATCTACATTTAAATCCTTCTTTTTAACGATGGTTCAAATTTTAACCCATTTTCATGTTCGATTTTTCCGTATTTCCAATGGGTTTCAGAATGGGTGCCCAAAACTGCACTTCTAGATTCCATAACTTGAGTAATTGGATTCCGATTTTGACGTGGGATACCTCTATGAATTTGTGGTTGAATTCTCTAATAGTCCACATTTAAATCTTGCTGATTATTGAGGGTCCAAATTTTAGCCCATTTTCATGTCAGATTTTTCCGAATTTCCAATGGGTTTCAGAATGGGTGCCCAAAACTGCACTTCTAGATTCCATAACTTGAGTAATTGGATCCCGATTTTAAAGTGGGATACCTCTATGAATTTGTGGTTGAATTCTCCAATATTCTACATTAAAATCCTGCTGATTATAGAGGGTCCAAATTTTAACCCATTTTCATGTCAGATTTTTCCGTATTTCCAAAGGGTTTCAGAATGGGTGCCCAAAACTGCACTTCTAGATTCCATAACTTAAGTAATTGGATTCCGATTTTAAAGTGGGATACCCCTATGAACTTGTGGTTGAATTCTCTAATATTCTACATTAAAATCCTGCTGATTATAGAGGTTCCAAATTTTAACCCATTTTCATGTCAGATTTTTCCGTATTTCCAAAGGGTTTCAGAATGGGTGCCCAAAACTGCACTTCTAGATTTTATAACTTGAGTAATTGGATTCAGATTTTGACGTGGGATAGCTCTATGAATTTGTGGTTGAATTCTCTAGTATTCTACATTAAAATCCTCTTCTTTAACGAGGGTCCAAATTTTAACCCATTTTCATGTCAGATTTTTCCGTATTTCCAAAGGGTTTCAGAATGGGTGCCCAAAACTGCACTTCTAGATTCCATAACTTAAATTATTTGATCCCGATTTTGACGTGGGATACCTCTATGAATTTGTGGTTGAATTCTCTATTAATTCTTTGACTCTTCCGTATTTTTAATAGTTTGCAGAATGGGATCCCAAAAGTGAACTTCTTTAATCCAACACATAAGTTGAAATATTCAACCCAAATTATTATTGATCCCATTTACTTTTCTCCATTTAAAACAAAATACCCGGAGACTTTTGCAAGAATTCGGTTAAGATGTATATTTTAGGGGAACAGATTAAATTGCACTTGCTAATACAATTATTGACTTTTAAATTACATTTAATAACAATTTTTTCGGGGTGGTTAAAACTATTTACAAACTTAAGGGGGCACATTGACCGTTTTACCATTGCGGGAGTACTACGTTTTTTCCATCTAGAGTCTAGACTAACAACAAAATGTACTGCCCGCCCCGTTTCGCCGCGTTCAAATCGCCAAGAATCTTAAAATTTCAATTAGCTTAAAAAAATCACATTTCATGTATCTTGTATCTGGTTCTACAACTCCAACTTAATGCCGCCAAACTACGCGCTACGTGTTAGGTAACAGCAAGGACCTGGAGTCCTTTCTTCCTTTCCGATCGGATCCTGCCACTCTAACGCTAATAAATTCGTCTCTATCCATTGATCGTCTCCATTGTGCGGATGTATCTAATGTTCCGAGCTGAAGTACGAGTTCTGCATGAGATACAGCTTGTCGATGGGATTTATCAGGCTGTTGTTGAGGTTGGCCAGCATGTCGTGGGGATTCGAGTGGGAGTGGGAGTGCGAGTGCTGGTTGCCCGAGGAGCTGGTCGACTGCAGCTCCAGGTTGTTCAGGGACAGCGAGTCCGCATCGTCGTCCAGCTGGTCAAAGTTGCTCCCATCCAGGGAGAGGTCCGAGCTGCAGAAGCTGTCATTCGAGTTGGCCGGATAGTCTGTAAAATAGAAATCCATTAGTACTTGTATCTGGGAACTTTATGTTACTATTTTAAATCGAACTGCACTGTATGACTTAATTACTACAAATTATATTACAATTGT